GATCAGACACCTTCATCGTACGTCTCCGTTGGGAAAACGACAATGGCAGCCCGCAATTCCTCTTCTGTGCCAATCAAAGGTCTTACAGACAAAAGAAACATTACTCTCACATTTGTTATCTCTTTAAACGGCGACTTCCTGCCTATGCAAATAATTTATCAAGGAAAGACCAAAGCAAGTCAACCGAGAGGCTTTGACTTTCCACGTGGGTTCGTAGTAACGCAGAATCCCAAACACTACTCGAACGAACTGGAAACTCTCAATCTACTCGACAACATCATTCAACCATACGTTGTCCTAAAGCGAAAAGAACTGAATTTGCCAGCCACACAGAAGGCATTGTTGATTTGGGACGTATTTAAAGGCCAGAAGACAGCCAAGGTTTTATCTAAACTGGCAGCAATGAACATTGAAGTGGTTAGTGTGCCAGCAAATATGACCCATTTCTTCCAACCCCTTGATTTGACTGTCAACAGAGAAGCAAAGAAGTTCATGAAAGACCAATTTACGGCTTGGTACTTGGCACAAATTCACACTCAACTGGATTCAGGGGTGGCTCTCGATGATGTTGATGTTGACATACGCCTCTCGGTTTTAAAACCAATTCACGCAACATGGCTTGTGAGCATGTTTAATCATCTCTCTTCCTCTGAAGGCAGGATATCAATTGCCAAAGGATGGAAGAAGGCGGGCATCAGTGAAGTCATTGATGGGAAGGAACTTCCACCGGAAGATCCCTTTGAAGATTTGTAATGAACACCATCAGATGAAACATTTATTTAGTATCACATGGGCAAAATACCCAAAAGACATTAGATATAAACAAAAGCCATCGTAACGAATGATATTTAATGCATGCATTGTTATCGTTAAACTCGTATTAAACTCTAATAATAAGTTTTTCTTCAAGTACGAACAGCATTTCACTTAGTGCCTTAAGTGCACAATATTTTCTTGGCCAAAAAACTTCCGTCACCTTATGAACGTTGCCGCGAACCACTGAAACAATGCGTTTTCACGTTGTAATACATTTATTTTTAACGTTAATTTTCAAATATGTGTTTTGTTGTGTTCCAGTTATCTAGAAACTTTAAACAGTTCAGACCTTTGGAAAAATAAAATAAAGTTGAGAACGCTTCAATCGCGAAATTTAATGCCCTTTTTTCATATTTGCCTATTGAAATCGCGTAAAATAAAACTCCGCGAAATATTGCCTCGCCAAAATCGCGAAATTAAGTATCCGCGAAATTAAGTACCAATAAGGTATTATTATTATTGAACACTATCCATAACTTGACTCTCCAAAATCAGGGATTAAATTTTCAACCACACTTTCATCAGTCAAATTTGTCTGAAATTGGCCAACATGTAACTGTTAAGGCCAAAGTTACCAACATGTCCTTGACCCTATAGAAAACAACTGTACTTACATGTTCCATAATGTAACAGTATGAAGTGACAAATCAAGACCACATTTGTTTGAACACTGCTAGGAATGGAATAGAAATAAAGCTCAAAAGATTTTACTAATGTCTTTGCTGTGCCACTAACTCAAGATACCACACAATTTGTATCTACAACCATTGAAGGAGAAATATTGGAAATCACTACCATAAACTCATATTTCTCTTGCTTTAAGTGCAACAAGAAACTAGAACAATCTATTGCAGCAACATATTTAGAGTGCAGCAATTGCTACTTAAATCAAAAACTTAAACCTTCATTTAAACACTGGTATACCCAAGTACTGGTCCAGTACTCTGATAATAAGAAAATAACAATAACATTTTTTGAGAAGCCTATTAAGCCAATCAGAACAAAGAAAGCCTCATGCCAATGATAACTGAAGAAATGCTCAAAGTCAGTTTGTTCAATCTTCCAACAGTAATGTTCACAGACAACACAACATCCAAAGTGGTACTGAAGATTGCTTCAAATATGTCACTTCCCTGCTTTTCAAAAAACGTTTTTGTTGACATCACAATATATACTGTAAACCTAGTTGCATACATTACTGTAGTAACTTGTGTTGCATTAAGTTTTGTTTGTTCACTTTGTTAATACTAGACGGAACAAACCAAAACCCAATGTACTCAATTTGTTTTGTTAGTGTTACTTATAGATAATACAAAATAAGAATATAGCAACTTGTGTCAAATCGATCTCACAAAGTTGTTGTTTCATTATTCTTCTTTGTCAGTGCAACAATTTAATTTAGGACGGGGAGAGGGGGGGGCATGCCAAAAAAATTTGGCTTTAAAAGGAGAGAACCAGCCAAAAAAAATTCTCATAAACCAGTCGGAGGTCATCATAAATTATACTATCATTGAAATCCCGCCAGCCCCCCTACCCCATAAAAAACAGCAGTCCTTTATTCCAACTACTTGCATACATTCTTATGCAAATTATCGCATATTTATGCCAGTTCTACTTTTCATAGGTTTCACCTTCTAAGCAGTAGTCACATGTATGTACAGTTTGCATGTGATGAACCTCCATTACAAACATTTAATTTACTTAACTTAATCCTATGCTCTGACATTGTTAGCTGCTTACTTATTTCATGGTACTTGTACCCAACAATCATCACTATTATTCCTCCAGGGTACTGGTACCCTATAATCATTATTATAAATAATCATCAACTTCCATTTAATACAATCCTAAAATTTGAAGAAGGGTATAGGAAAGTTGTTGTTTTTGTCATTGCTGTTGCAAACTATCAAGTTTAGTTGCAAAGGAAGGAAATGCTACCATCCCATCTAAAAGTAACACCACAAGCATTGAACAATCTTTAGTAGGTGCAATATCAAGGAATTACCCATCTAAAAACAAAATCAGATAACTATCAAAAAGGGATGATGACCTTAAATAAATATTTCAAAGTGCAGGCGAATGTTCCATACAGAAGACTTTGTTTTTGTGAAACTAATCAATTGGCAAGCAAAACTGTCGAATAGTTTGTGACCAGATTGAGACAAAAAGCCCAAACCTGTGAATTTGGAGATGCAAACACTACGGAGGAGCAAATTTGTAATCAAGTTATTAGTAAGTGTTTGTCACACAAACTTTGTTGAAAGTTACTTCAGAACAAGCCTTGACTCTGCAACAATTGAGAGAAAATGGCTGTGCTATGGAAGAACCTGAGAAACAGGCCCATTTGATCAAAAGAGCAAGTAATGCAAGTAATGAGGTTAATAGTGTGGGTGGAAAGGTGGATCAAAGAGGAGACCCAAGCACAAGGAATGTTAAATGTTTTTGGTGGGACATAAAGCTAACGATCATGGATGGCCAGTTAGAGGGAAACAGTGCAGAAAATGTAATGGGACAGAACATTTTGAGGCTGTATGTAAAACTAAGAGGAAACAAAATAGTGGCCCAGGCCGAGGAGCTGGAGGAATGCTTAGGCCAGATAGTAGAAGATGGAGTGGTGGACACCATCATAACAGGCAAGTAGAAGTTGAAGATAAGGAGAGTGATGATTGAATATGCAAATGTTTCAAGTGACAGCAAAATTTCTGTGAAAATAGGAGGTTTACTTTTTACAGTGATTATTGATTCTGGTGCTAGTTGCAATGTCATAGGTCGTAGAGTGTGGGAATATTTGAAAGCAAATAAGGTTAAATGCGTTTCAAGCAAGGTCTCCAAAAAAGTTGTATTCATATGGTAGTAATCAGCCACTACAAGTTGCAGGCACATTTACAGCAGAAGTTTCTGTTGGAGAGAGAGTGTTAAGTGGGGTTGAATTTGTTGTGGGGACCGGAGCAATTTGATGAGTTAAAGAAACGACTGTCTAGTGCTGCAGCATTTGAATATTTTGATAAGAATGCCCCAACCAAGGTGATTGCAGACACAAGCCCTGTAGGCTTAAGAGCTGTATTAATGCAACAGCAAGGAAAAGAGCTACGAGTTATTAGCTATGCGAGCCAAAGCCTGTCTGATACAGAACGCCAATATTCTCAGACTTAGAAAGAGGCTTTAGCAATAGTGTGGTGCTGACTTTGAACTAATGACTGACCACAAACCTCTAGAATGTATTTTCTTGCCTAAATCCAAGACCTGTACTAGGATCAAGAGATGGCTACTCAGGATGCAGCCCTATAGATTCACAGTGAAATACATTCCAGGCTGCAAGAACATTGCAGATTCATTGTCACACCTGCTGCACCCAGTGCCACAGTCAAGAGACCAAAACAAAACAGAAGAGTATGTAAAGTGGGTAGCTCAAGAATCAATGCCTGTTGCCTTGACAACTGTGAAATTGATAGAGCATCTAAACATGACCCACAGCTGAAAAGTGTACAAGAATGCTTCTTGAATGGAAGGTGACATGCTATAGAAATCAAGGAGTACCTGCTGGTGCAAGGTGAATTAAGTGCGATTGGAGAGCTTGTTCTCTGTGGAACTCAAATTATAGTAACAAAGCAGCTTCGTTGTCAAGCACTGAAGTTCGCACATGAAGGTCATCCTGAGACTGTGGCAATGAAACAATGTCTGCAAACCACAGTGTGGTGGCCAGACATTGACAAAGAGGTGGAAAGAGTTTTTGTTCATGGCTGTCAGTTAGTTTCACAACCACCTAAACCTGAGCCGGTGACACATACAGAGTTACCTTCTGTTCCATGGCAACATCTAGCTGCTAACCTATTAGGTCCACTCCCTTCTGGTGATTATGTCTTTGTCATGGTGGACTACTACAGTCACTTATTCGAAATGGAATTCACCAAATCTATTACATCTGAGAGGATTGTATTAATTCTGTCCAAGATTTTTGTCACTCATGGCCTTCCTTTGTCCCTCTAGACTAACAATGGGTCACAGTTTGTCAGTGACTATTTCAAGAAGTACTTAGAAGAGAGTGGAACTGAACACTGGCGAACCACACCCTTATGGCCACAAGTAAATGGGGGATAGAAAGACAAAACCGCAGTATCCTGAAATGCCTGCATATTGCTCAAGCAAAGGGTCGCAACTGGAGATGAGAGATAGACAACTTCTTAATGATGTATCGTAGTACACCTCACACTACAACTGGGGTTAGCCCAACAGAAATGTCGTTTGGAAGATGCATCAGGACCAAACTACCCCAACTGCAAGAGTTCAGTGATGAAGACGAAGTCAGAGAGAGTGAGAGTGAAAGAAAAGAGAAAGGGAAGGTGTGTGCAAACTGCAAAAGAAAGGCACATGAAAGCGAGATTCAAAAGGCGACAAGGTGTTATTGAGACAGGAGAAAGAAAACAAACTGTCGACGCCATACAGTCTCCCTTTACAGTTGTTCAGAAGAATGTCAATAGTGTTCTTTTCAAGGCAAATGGCATACAATACTCATGTGAAAAAGTATCTAGAGCAACATAATGCACCCCAAGCCACCAGTAGATTGCAGATTCCACAGAGGCTCAAGGAGTAACAGGGAGTTCACCAAACCAAGTGTTTAGAGAATTTGTACATGTTTCTCCTGGAATAACAAGTGAAGACAAACCAGTGGAGTACAAATCATCAGATGATACCACTACCACTAAAATGACCACTGTCTAGATTTCAGGACTATGTTCTAGGCAGTGTTCAGCTGGTCCCGGAGTAGAGCTCTTAAATCTAGATGTAAACTGGAACTTTGAACTGAAGTTGAACTTTTTTGTTGTTGTGGTACACTTCTAATTTAGGCCAGTTGGAAGCATTCAAACACTGTTAGAACTTTCATAAGACATTCAGAGACATTTTCATGCGTATAAAGTTGATTAGGTTTATTGTATTTTTGTTTTCATTCAACCTAACAAATAATTCAAAGAAGGGAGGAATGTAGTTTTTGTGAATGTTTAGGTCTACTCTCCCTATCCCCCTTGTTTTGTATATCAGGGCATGCGTATTGAGATGTTGATGATTAAACAACATCCTCAATTTGTGCAATTTTGTTGTTTACTGTTTGTGGTAAGGTCAGAATCATCCTGGGTTAAATCTGTGAATACACTACACACGTGCTAACAAATACTTCAAAGTTCAACCATATCTCTCTAGTCCTGAGTTCATCCTCTAAAAAGAATCAGCTGCTAGTATGTAACAGCAGGCAGTTGTACAGTGTAGGAAATGGCCTCAGCCCTCATAACATAAATTTTGCCCCTGTGAGATAAAAATTTTAAAGGAGGCATATTTCCCCTTAACCATTTAGGTCACCTCTCAAATGTGTTTGTTTCCATGGCACCCGAAAGAGCATTTTCCTTCTAGGTTGCTATTGCTTCATTCCCTAGAGTTCTTTTATTCCCATAAATCACAAACTAAACCATGAGGAATATGTGTATGTGATCTTACATGATGCACATATCTTGATTGGAGGCTCATGGGATAGATTTCTGACATGCTACAATCAACCTAGCAACAAACTTACTCAGTCTCGTCTCTCGTGGTAGCAATTTATCCTCTGAGATGACCAGGAAAAAGTCCAAAACCAATATAGAAAGAAAAGTAAGGTGAATGAGAGAAACACCCCCTGGGAGTTAAGTTGATGGTGCAGACTCCTTAATTAAACATGTGCCTAGGAGAACACTCTACTCCACTGACACCGAATTGTGCATAGTTCCTCAGGATAATCTTGAATCCAATAAAAAGGGCAGTTTTTCAGTCATTGCTCCCTAAATCTGAAACAATTTACCACACTAAATAAGAACTAGCATTTTTAAATTCTTATGAGTATATTTAAGCCCATTTTATTAAGTTGTTCCTTTTACTGGTAAATTAGCAGAAATAATGATTATTATTATTATTATTATTATTATTATTATTATTATGATGCAACACCTGCTGCATCAAAAAGGTCACCTCTCTTTAAATCTGACAGTGATGAATTAGTGTCTCTATTGAAATTGGTTTTATCAGCCTCTTCATCACAAAGTCTAGAAGAAGAGAGGGATTTTAAAGAACATGGAGCCAGGCTAATAGATTTAAACAATTTTTCCTTAACTCTCGCCAGGCCACATGTGTGTGAGGAAAGAGAGATCCGTAATTTGATAATTTACATGTCACATAGTTGTTGATGTACTGTTTGGCTATGTTTACTCTACCTTTGGTTGCTTTATTTATTCCTTCACTGTTTACTTTTATACTGTTCATGGCTTATAATGTACAGTGATTTTCTTCAAGGAACTGTTTCTCACATGAAAAAGCCAGTTGGAGGGTGCAGCTGCCTTTCAGATGAACAAATTAAAAAGATTCAAAGATACCATAGTCTAGCCATTGCAAAGAACATTCTGCCAACCCCAAATCCATCAGACAGAGAGGTTAATGTAGCTTACACCATGAAAAAGAACATTGTCACTATCTTACACCACTCTGTTTAACCTACATTGTAAAGATCCAGCAAAGCAACAGATTTTGTCCTCCTGACAAGAACTCTTGTTGTAAGTGGCAACCATATCCAGTAACAAGGCCGTTGACCCGTAAAGGGGATGACTGCTTGCCCAGGGTTTTTCTGGGATTGTTGTACTTCACTTTCCATACATAAAGTGAAACAGAATTCTTGGAAAAGTGCATGTGTGGTGCTATACAGAACAATGCAAATAAGTGCATCAATTCTCTGGTTTAGGTTTGGTGTCTAAAGCATAAATGTTGTAGTGTGAAAGTAATTCACTGAGATGTGACTTTCCCAGTATGAGAAATTAATGCATGGAAGATGATCATCTGTGAAAACCAACAAGAACAACAAATGCAAACTGAAATTTGAGGAGATTATACTTCCAGGTCATTGGTTTTTTTCCTTTGGCCTGAGTTTAAACTTGATCAAGACCTTGATTTCTGATGACAAAGGAACCTTTTTGCTACCATCCTACAACCTGCTTTATCAAATCAAGTATGTGTTTATATATTACATTGCTATTGTTAGAATTAATAATGGTAAATGAATGTACAATTTCAGGTGCCTATCATCTAACATTCAATCAATGAACAGATGAAAACTGCCTTTTTCCCACAATTTCAGCCATACATGTATCTTAAGGAACACTATTTTTCATTGAACTGATGTTTTATCTTAAAACACTGTCTATGTATGTATATAACTGTAGCTAAGATTTGATCTTTGGAGACTTTTAAATATTATCATAAATCTCTTTTTAGTGTGTAGTCTGTGTACTGTACCTCCACTATAAACACGTAACTTATTGTAGTTCCCTGACATTTTTTAGCTGCTTAGTTATTCCAGGGTACTGGTACCTTCTAGTCGTCATAATGTGTTTGTTTCCATTATACCAGAAAGAGCAGCTCGGCTGATGATTGTGACTCAAGCATGTCTAAGGACGAAAATGAATCACTCGTCAAGGAAGAGCCACCCACCAAGAAAAAGGGACTGAATGAACAAGGAAAGAACAGCAATCCCCTGATTACTAAGCTGACCAAAACCCTACAGCTCACCAAACATGTTGGTCCCACTACCAATGGGGAACTTGCATCGCTTGTGGATAAAATTATGAGGGAGAAAGCTAATGAAGACAAAAAAAATGGAGTTAAAGAAACACGAAAATTGCCACCTTATCAGAGACAAAGGTCAATCAAGGTGTCTGGAACAATTTAGATGAGTCAGCTCAGTCAACTGACTTAAGATTCTAAAGGTTCAGAAAAGTCTGATTAAAAGAATAATAGTAGTCGTGTCAAAGGTGAACAAGCTGATGGGCACCTCAGAAATTCAGAAAGAAGATACTGTTAGTGTCCTAATGGATGGGGTGCTCCTCTTAGCAAATGCTAACCAGGAGTTAAAATATTGACAGAGAGAGTTAATGAGACCACAAATCAAAACAAATTCTAGACATCTTTGCAGCCCATCAAATCCAGTGACAGCTGAATTGTTTGGAGATGATTTCCCTAAGGCTTCTTAAGACATCTCAAACAGAAACAGGTTAAGTTCAAAGCTCACCGAGGACAGTAGTTCTAATCACTCATAGAGTAGCCAACAACACCATGGCTGGCATGGAAAGAAATATGTTAGCTCTCACAATTCCAACAACAAGCAGTCAAAGAATTTAAACTTCCAGAGACCCCTCCACTTCAGAAGGTAGTTGGGGTTTGTAATTAAAATGCAGATATCATCTGTCATACCAGCTCAGCCAATCACATTTTTAGGTTTTGTCC